AGGGAAAGAATTACAAAAGGCATTACACCAGTGAAGGCATTATTGCTGCTATTAGTAGCCACAGAAGTAGTTTAGCATGAATGACAGCAAATGCCCAGGTAAAGCCTTGTCTGAACGGTGTCGTTAGGTCCTCGCGCCCATCCCACCTGTGCCAGGATAACCCAGATCTTGGTGGCCGCAGGCTGATGGAGCTGGGTGGAGCCCTCCTGCCCGGCGTGGGCCGGGCTCCCCTTCCCTCCACTCTAATCCCCTCATCAGCCTAATGCTGCTTGCTGGTACTTTTATCAGCTTCTCCAGCATCATCTGCTGCCCTGGCGAGCGGTGACCTAAAAAAGTGTTAATCCTGTTTACATTTTCAAGGTCAAAGAGGAACCTTCATCTGCTTTGTTTGTTTTACAATGGAAAGAAGACCAAGTAACTCGTGGATTAAAGAGAAAATGCAGTTTTCAGACAGTGTATTAGTGCCCTATAACTAGTTGTGATACTTTGAGTAGTTCCTGTGTAAAAGACAGATTCTCAATTCTTTTGTAGTGATGTCTCTCCCTTGTCTCTTTCAAGGAAAAAGACACACAGAAGCCTGGAAATGAGATTTTTTTAAAAAATATTAATTTAGGTCAGTTAGGAGAATAAGAAATTTGCATTTAGAAAACATACAGATATGTAAACCTTCTGTCTCTTCCCATAACAGTAGAAGAATTTTTTAACGTGAAAAGCTGAAAACCAAGTTCTGGTGTTTGAGACAGTAAATATATTATATTTTCTATTTTTCATTCGAAGCAGAAAAAGTTGAAGTGCATCCCCCACTGTTCAAGAAGAAAGGACTGAAAGCAAACTTTGGAGCTTTTTTTCCCCCCTCTCTTTAAAGCAGTCTTAAATATTGCACAGTAACTACTAAACCACTTGAATAGGATATTGAGTATTATAAATATATGTAGCATACATAAGAAAAGAAGCAACACTTTTTTTTGTCTTTTTTCTTTTTAGCTTTTGGCTCTTAGATTCCATTCTGCTTAATTCCTTCCTCTAACATATATATGTTCAAGTTCCACATTAGTAAAGGTGAGTTTGCTGTCCTAATCTTTTGGACGTCACAAGAAAGATACACAGGAAACAGGAATTGATAAAATTAAACTGCCGTTAGATGTTGCAGTATCATAAGAAAAAACTGTCTTATCAACAAATGGAAGTCTTATAATTTTTCTGCAGTAAAGCAGCATAAAAGATAAATAGTTTTCACTCGCTGTTGTCTATGATATGGCCAGAAGAGTAAAAGATATGCATCATTTTGACACATATATTCTAATACTTCTTTAGACAGTGGGATTATGTTCAGACTTCTGAAAAAAAAATGTGAGGCCTTTAGCCTTGGTAATAGACGTGTGATGCATAGTTTTTTCCTTGCTATTTAGATCTTGGACACTAATATTTGTTATTCAGTGACAAATATATGCATGACACACAGAGGGATAGATGTTTTTTCCCTTCACCAACTTTTTCCCCTTTCCTAATGAGTTTAAAGTCCTCATTAGGAAAGCATTTTAAGCTTAGGTTTAAGGCTGTTCAGCTCAAGAAGGTACAGAGGTCACGCTGACTCCTGTGCGGTTATGTCAGTTGAAACCAGATAAGTGGCAGGAGGCTTGGATTTTGCCTTGAAAAAAAAAAGTTACCCAGCAGCAAACCTTGCTTCATGAGTGTGCCCTCTGAGAGTTTGCCTTTGTGAGTCTTGCCCAGGAGGAGAACCAGGAGAGGAGCATGATGCTTTGGGCACGATGCAATCACAGAATCATAGAATCATAGAATGTTAGGGGTTAGAAGGGACCTCGAAAGACCATCTAGTCCAAACCCCCTTCCAGAGCAAGATCACAAAGGAATGCATCCAGGTGGGTTTTGAAAGTCTCCGGAGAAGGAGACTCCACAACCTCTCTGGGCAGCCTAACTAAATAGAACAAAGTGTGTCTTCAAGGCTAAAGTTAGACCTCCCAGGCACATGTGAAGGCCACATACCAACCTGTAGTGCCTGTACCAGTTGCACCATCTAAATGTTAAAGTGAAATGAAAACTCACAGAGCATCAAACTCAGAAAGGACTGTTTTGAAGCAGTAAATGGCAATGCTTCTTGAAAAAGAGGCAGCGAAACCTTAAGTGGTTCTGTACGCATATGCAGTACTTTGGAGACCTTTTCAAAGGAGTAAACCTTTTTGTGGATATTTACAAACACGCAACTTAAAAAATTGCACTCACTGAAGTCAGTGGCATGGCTTTTCTGGGAGGGATACTGATGTGAGAGGAAAGTCTATGGTGCAAACAGAAATGAGACACTTCTTTTTTCTTTAAAATCTGGGAGCAAACAGATGTGGCTGGAAAAAGGTGAAAAATACTAATCCTCATGCAAGCATGAGTGTCCTTGGGAAGTCTGGAAATATTACATCCAGGTCAATGAGTTGTACCACAGCACAGAAGGGGAGATTGTCTTTGAGCACTGTTTGACCTTGATGTGACATTGAATAATCCCACATATTGAAAGGGAGTGCCTGGTGTCTTGATGCTAGGTTCTCACGTAAGGAATGCAACTGAGAACTGAAAGTCATGTCCTCAGCTATCTGCTATCTTGCTGTCCAAATACAATAAATAAAGAACAAACCTTATCTGGTACTTGCAGTGGGGCTTAGAGTATGATCTAGCACTTAAATATGAAAAGTAAGCTAAGGAAGTGGGTTTGGGGAGATAAGCATAAAATATTATCCCCCAAATTGCACATATGCACCTTTTTTTTCTCTATAAAATGAACTGTATGCACATATCCAATGAAGTCTAATTCTTCTTTAACTCAAAATAGCTTTGGACTAATATAACCCACTGGACTTCAGGAATGAACCTCTTGACTTACATCATCTAAGTAAGAAGAGAATCAAGGCTATTTTGCACACACAAAAACGTGTGTCCTGGGAAGCGGTCAAGAAAAAAGTTCCAAAATTCTTTTATTACTTTATTCATTAACCATCCAGCAACTGCTTCACTTTAAAAATAGCATCCTACAAAAGCACAGACATCCATCTCCTGTCTAGAAGCCATCTGGGAGAAGAATGGAAAGCTATTAAAAAATATTTTATGAAAAAGAGCTTTTTTTTTCCTCCACAGCCATGAATTCATGGAAGCCAATCATTTTGTCCCAAATATGTAGGTCTGATCAACTTATAGAAAAACTAAAAAGACATCTGAGAAGGAGGGGAAGGTCATGAGGAACATGCAAGACCTTGTGTTCTAGGATAGCTTTGTTACGTGAAGTACCTGAAGATGGTGAATTTGGGCCTGGACCACCAACAAAGGTAGAAAGAAGATAGTGCAGTACCAGGAAGCAAAATCTGCTTAAAAACACTTTGTGGTGCTATTTGCTAAACAAAACTCACTTTTTAATTTCTCATATAAGATGGATAAATTTTTTCTTTTCAAATTCATTCAGGTCTATGTCAAATATAAGGTAAAAAAATTCTTACTGCCAAGAATCATACATTTTGGATCGCTTTAAGAAGCATATAATGTGGCAACTATCACTGAAGGTCTCTTGGTTAGACAGCTCAATAGTTGTTTATTCTGCAACGTGAGTCATATAGTCAAGTGTGCAGCGTGAAGAAATCACTTAATAAAATATACAATAGATGTCAAGAAAAGAGCCAAGGAGAGAAAAATAAATTAAAAGCACTGTGAAAACATCTGCACATTTCACATTATCAGATATCACATTAAAGAAATATTAAGCTTGTTTTACTAAATTTATAGTGTAATCTAGTAAAATGAGGCTATGTTCCACCTGGCCATTCTGAATAATAGCAGAGTCACGAGAATTCAGAAATCCTTACATTTCAACTCTGTATCATACCCGAGACTCCATTCATAATCAAACACGTGCTTCATGGAAGCACGAATGTGATGAAAAGACATGGAAGTCTTCCAAACTCTATGAGAAAGATGGGCTTAAAACAGTAAATATGGAGTGTCCCCTTAGTATATTTTTTCACAAAGCTTACAAAAAGAGTGAACTTTTACCTGGAAATGGTCTGAACTTATATCTAGAATACTCTTGGCCATTAAACAGATTACCTTGTGGCTGTGGGTAATTATGCTGCTCACTTCGAAGCAACGCAGAAAATCAATTTTAATTAAAAAATCATTTATGCTGGACTGAGTCATGCCCATTTAGGAAAAAATAAAATATTGACCTAGGAAAGTTCAGTTCAGATGCAGAATTCACTTTCACAGTAGCACCCAGCTCTTTCAACCCAATTTTCCAATCGAATTGACAGAAGGACAAAGAGGTTAAATGATTTGTACAAAGTCATACTCATGCTGAGTTTATCCCCAAGATCATCTTGACTCCCCGTCTTTCGTTATAATGACTTAGCAGATTTCTTCTATCAGTTTTAGTCTTAAGTATCCTCTTTTTCAGATAAGGTTGTAAAATTCTTTCTGTCCCTACTTGTCACATGACAAATGCTATGAACCTTTGGCAACCAGAAGAGATGAGAATTTGATTCAGTCCTGACTGAAGACAGTATCCCAAACCAGGACAGTATTTTTATGTAGCTTACCTTAAAATATATATGAGTCTTATGAAACTTAACTTAAATGAATGTTTATAGCTGGTATGGTATGTAAAGATGCCTTGGTGTTGGTGCCTGTGAGTATTCACAGATTCTGGGAATATTACTTTATTGAATTTGCATATTAGAAAGATTGGCTGTATGTATCTAAAGTGGATGTGAAGCAAAAATTCATGCCATCTCTTGAGCTGAGTCTACAGTGTCATCACTGATTTTGAAGTGTAGACCACTTTGTAAGATTTAATGCTGTTATTTCCAGAACTATTCCAAGAATTCAAACTATTAGACTACCATACAGATAATATCAGAGATGCAATTTTGCCTGGAGAAGTGACTTAAAACCTTAATTAGGGTAGAATTATTAATTTTCAATGTATGGGACGTGCAAGGACCTTGTTAGGTTTGGTCCTTGCACAGATGTATGTAGAATATTAAGTGTAAACATGCCTTCAGAAAGACAACACTTTGTGTCATCTTCTGAAAAGATTAGGTGTCTAAGGCTGCTTTCTATGATTTTTGTTACACAAGGAGTATAAGTAGGAAACCATATCCTTATCACTCCAAAATAGTTTGATACTTGTATGGTCTGTTAAAAAACATTATGTTCTGCTTTTGTTTTTCACACTGATGCAAAACTACAAAGACTACCCTCTAGCACTCTTTGCTGTATTTTTTTTTTGTGTTAAATATTGATATAGAAAAACACACATAATAAAAGATGTAGAAAGTGCAGCAAGGCTAGTTACCAAGAAGTATACACAAACATATATATTAGTCTGAAGAAAAGAAGGCTAAGGGGAGACCTTTTGCTCTCTACAACTATGTGAAAGGAGGTTGTAGAGAGGTGGATGTTGGTCTTTTCTCACAAGTTACAGCTAATAGGACAAGAGGAAATGGCTTTAAGTTATGCCAGAGAAGGTTTAGGTTAGACATGAGGAAAATTTTTTACACTGAAAGGCTTATCAAAGACTGGAACATCTGCCCAGGCAAGTGGTTGAATCTCCAACCTTGGATGTATTTAAAAGCCGTCTAGTTATGGTGCTCAGGAACATGGTTTAGAAGACGACCTGGTAGAGTTAGAAAATAGATGGACTTGATAATCTTGAAGGTCTTTTCCAACCATAATGATTCTATGATTCTATGATTCTGTATGTTTACTCAGTTTAAGGGCAAAGTAGGGAAGCGAACATATTTTCAGATTATTTCCAGATAGATCCCTGCAATACAATTCTTGTAATCTGTAACCCTTTTCTTTCTGGATTCACTCTTTCAGTCACTACTTCTACATAGACAGCCCTCCAAGAAACACTTTCTAGCCTTTCATCTCACAAAGGTATATACCAGAAAGAATTACTGAACCTGGTGGGAAAAAAGAAAAACAACCTTTTAGTGCCTCTCCAACATCTTTGGAAGAACCTCACCTTTGCCCGGAAGCTGACTAAGAACAGGAAAGACTGCATGGGGTCCCTAAAAAGCCCAAACGCACAATAAAAAACATCAGCAAAGACATTAAGAGGCAAATTAGAGAACATCTGCAGGGAAAGCTGAATGGATGAGGGAGCCAAAGACATGCTTAGAAACCCAGAGAATTTTATGCACTGAAGCACATAGGATATATATGTGCACACAAATATGTGTATACATATGTGCTGGAGTGAGAACTGGAAAACTACCAGCCTCCTGAGAAGATAAAAAATGAACATGTGACAAGAACGGATGTTAAGATATCCCAGGAAGACATTGCTTCCCCAGATCTCCTTTTCTTTTGTTCAGATGCTTCTCAAATGCAAGTGCACATTTGATGAAATGACTGCTCAGCATAGGGGTGAGTATATATGAATATTAATGAAGAGGAAAATATCTCCTGTTTTGGCTGAGTGTCTAATTAAGTAGATGCTCAGGTGTTGTTTCTAGGAATTTGACATAAATTATTTAAAAATAAAAGTCAGGCTGGAAATATTATTAAAATATCATGAGAACAGTATTTTCTGTTCTGTATTCTAGGTTTTCCACTCCCAGTGAAAAGAACAAGTGGAGAAAACCTAACAGGGACACATGTACACACACAGCATGATAAGCTTTCCAACTTAAGTTAGGTTCATTTTGAGAAAAGAATGCAAATCAGCTATTAATATATATTTATACTTTTACAAAACCTTCCTACAGAAGAAGCCAATTTGGATAAGGATTTAAGTGTGGGATGAGGTGAGGGAAGGAAAAACTCGCCTTCTGCAGAATGTTGTTTAAAAAAATGCAAAGAAAATTCTTTACTCTAGCTATTTGAAATAAGCTGTATTTTGGTTAAGACATGGCACAGAGTTTGGAAGGTTTCATTTTATGCTCTTGCACAGATCTGGTGACTTTTGGGAAGCCACTTATCCTCTCTGGGGGTTGAGTCCCCAACCATAAATAGAAATGTTCTTAAGTAATATTTGCTACCAATGTCTAGTGTAGGACCTATAAATAAGAAATTTAAAATCATTTATGTGTTACTAGTATAGTAATCATATACTTACCTAGAAGAGATGTACAGTTTGCTATTGGAACAAATAAGAAAACCATCTGACTCCATGTTTCATAGTTAAAAGAAAAATCATTTAACAGCTCAGTGTGAGAATCACTATTTCTTTAAATGTGTTTATTCAGGTAAAACTTGCACGACTTTGAACAAAGCTTAAACACTTACTGTCATAGTCCTGTAAATTTTCAATTGCTGATAATAATCTTGCCCTGTCTTCTGGGTTTGAAATATTTAATTCAATCAGATGGCTCTCCTGTAGGTCCTTTAAGTCCTCTAAAGTTTCATAGCCATTTAGCAATAGGGTTGAGGCATATTCCTACAAAAAAGAAACAAGCAAATTCTCTCATCAAGCACCATGTTTAGTAGAGGAATAGGCAACATTTCTCTTTTTTGTCAGGTTGAAATAAGCTCCATTCCCTACAACCTGTAGTACAAGAGCTATTAGAAGGGACTTTAGGGTCCTGGGACAGTCAGTGAGGGAATCTGGGGTTCAGGTTATATTTTCATCTCTCCTTCCAGTCGTGGGCAGCGACATTGGGCGATTAAGGTGAATCCAGTCTATTAATACGTGTCCTCGTGGCTGGTGTCTCCACCACAGCTTCAGGTTCTTTGACAATGGGATGGCCTACACAGCACCAGGCTTGCTAGCCTCAAATAGGAGTCACCTTTCCCAAAGAGGGAAGAGATTTCAGGGCCCAAGAGATTTCAGGGCTGATCAACAGGGCTTTAGACTAGTTACAAAGGGGGAGGGTGATAACAACATCAGGCTTGTGTGTGACAAGTCTGTGGGATGACACATCAGCATTAGAGGGACAGGGTGCTACTAAAGGCCTGCAACCAGTTACTCTGAGGCAAGTTGGGGATGTGGCAGCACAGTTAAAATCTTACAGAGATGATGAACTATGGACTCCCGAGGCAGTAGGAGCCCATAGAACACCTCAGTAGAATTAAGGGATGCTTCACCAAGAAGCTGACATGGCCGACAGGCCAGCTGAAGTGCCTCTACATAAATGCACGCAGCATGGGCACAAACAGGAGGGGTTAGAAATCTGTGTGCAGTCAAGGGGTTATAATCTGGTGAGACAGCTCACATGACTGGAATGTGGTCATGGAGGGCCATGACTTTTTTAGGAAAGACAGGCCAACAAGGCGAGGTGGTGGAGTATCTCTTTACCTGAGAGAGCAACTGGAATGTATCAAGTTCTGTCCAGGGGCAGATGAGGAGCGAGTTGAGAGTTTGTGGATGAGTGAAGGGCCAGGCTAGCATGGGTAATGCTGTGGCGGGTGTCTATTATAGACCACTGGATCAGGAAGTTGATGAGGCCTTCTACAGGCAGCTGACAGCAGCCTATCAATCACAGGCCCTGGTTCTCATGGGGGATTTTAACTACTCAGCTCTTTTTTGGAAGGCCTACATAGCCAGCCATCCACAGTCCAGGAGGTTCCTCCAGTGCATCCATGATAACTTCTTGATGCAAATGGTGGATGAGCCGACTAGGAGAGGAGTGCTACTGGATCTTGTGCTTACTAAAAATGAAGGTATGGTTGAAGTGGTGAAGTTTGAGGGCAGCCTTGGCTGCAGCCAGCGACCATGAGATAGAGAAGTTCAGGATCTTGTGTGGTAGGAACAGGATACCAAGCAGGTTCACAGCCCTGGATTTCAGCAGGGCCAACTTTGGCCTTTTCAAGCAATTACTAGGGAAAATCCCATGGGACTGTACTAGAAGGTAAAGGGGCTCAAGATAGTTGGTTAATATTCAGGGACCACTTCTTCCAAGCTCAAAATCAGTGTATCTCAACAGGTAGAAAATCAAGAAAGAGATCCAGGAGACCTGCGTGGTTAACTGGGGAACTGCGGGGCAAACTTAAGTGGAAGAAGAGAATCTATAGATCATGGAAGGAGGGGCTGGCCACTTGGGAGGAATATAAGACTGTGGCCAGAGGATGTAGGGAGGCAACTAGGAAAGCTAAGACCTCCTTGGAGTTAAACCTTGCAAAGGAGGTCAAGGACAACATGAAGGGCTTCTTCAAATATATTGCAATTAAAACGAACTCTACAGGCCGTGTAGGCCCATGGGTGAATAAGATGGGTGCCCTGGTGACAGAGGGTCCAGAGAAGGCAGAGTTACTCAATGCCTTCTTTGCCTCTGTCTACACTCTTGGAGACTGTCCTCAGGGGTCCCAGAGCCCTGAGGCTCCAGAGGAAGTCAGAATAAAGGAGGAGTTTGTCTTGGTTGACGAAGACTGGATTAGGGATCGATTAGGCAATCTGAACATCCATAAATCCATGGGCCCTGATGGGATGCACCTGCGGATGCTGAGGGAGCTGGCAGAAGTCATTGCTGGGCCTCTTTCCATCATCTTTGGTAAGTCATGAGAAACAGGAGAGGTGCCTGAGGACTGGAGGAAACCAAATGTCGCTTCCATTTTCAGAAAGGGCAAGAAGGAGGACCTGGGTAACTACAGACTGGTCAGCCTCACCTCCATCCTGGGAAAGGTGATGGAATAGCTTATCCTTGACTCTGTCTCTAGGCATATCAAGGACCAGGACAGAGCTCTGCCAGAAATTATTTAATCTGCTGAGTGTCTGGACTTCTGTGGGACACTCCGTGAGTGCCTCCTGTGCTGGGTCCAGGAAAGCCTCTGAGGTAGGCTGTTCTCTGCCTTTGCATAGAAGGAGCCCTTCGATAGAAGCAAGGGAGAGAAGCTGAGGGAGTCCTCAACCGTGCTGTGTCACACGTGGTCCCCCTTGAGCTGTGTGTAAGAAACTCTGTGCGTGCTCCGGGGAGAGGAATGTTTGCATCAGCACCAATGTAATAACCATTATTAAAAGTGTTACCTGTAAATCATGACCTAGTTACACTTTGACACTCAGTAGAGAATGAAGGTTGCAGAGATGGAGAGAGGCACAACATGAGCATACTGAAAAAAGACTATTGCTTCCTAAATATCATAAGAAATTAGAAAAACAGTTTCTAAATGCTGGTGCCGGAGTCAGGCTGTGGTCCTGTCCCTGAGGTGTCCACAGTTACACACCTCCTACACTTAGGCACATAACTGCAATCAGGTTGCGGTGGGTTGACAAGTCACCACTGTGCCTCTTAGCCTAACCAAATGATGTGGTAAAATGCAGCTCTAGAAGCCACTCACATCAGATAAAAGATAGACATGGAGCTGCTTTGCTTTGTTGACATAAAACTTGCTGAAACCTGCCTTTCTACTTCTGCCTGTAAATGACATCCAAACCCAAGTGCACAGAAATGAAACATTTCAGATACAGCTGGGAAATGGGTTGGCTGACCTGCAGGTGGACATAGTCCAGGAGTTCTTGCAGTGTTTTAGGCTTGGTCCTTCTGCTTCCACTGTGCAGCTTTATCTTTCTGGGTGCAGCTTCCTCTTCCAAGATAATATCCACATAAATGAACTTGAAGTTTCCTACTTTATTGTTCAGCATGCCGGTCCATATGCCCATGGGAGTTTTACAGATGATATCTATAATGTCTCCTTTCTAGAACAATAAAAAAGCCCACGCCACTGCTTACACATCTGACTTATTATAGGTAGCTTTTCTTATATAGACAAAACCAGCACAGACAGCACAGAATCTCGACTAGTCAGTGCAAAGTAACTTTTGAAAATTACCTAGACTTAGCTCCTTTCTTTTATAAAATCCCAGCAAAAGAATTATAGAAAATTGTGTTAATCCTTTTCTCCAAAACTTTGCAAAGGAGAAGTGAGCATAATCAGCCCCTGTCACCATTTTTGTGCTTCACTTCGTCCCTGGAAAGGGATAGGGTTGTGTCAGCAATCAACTTTTGCTATGAATAGTGGGCAAAGCTTTAGTAAAAAGCAAGTGAACACTGTGAGGTTATTTTCCAAATATGTGCCAAACCATTTACACAATAATCTTATTATCCAGCATCACAAGAGTCTTAGTAAAAAACTGATAGCTGAGATATGTGAAAGGTGAACTCTTACCCATTTTACAGTGAAAAACACTGGCTACATTTCTCAAAGGCAATAAAGAACATTTAATTCCCTTAATATCTTCATGTCAGTACTTCCCAAAGAACTGACAAATTTTCCCACTATTATTAGCACAATTGACTGAGAAAATACCAGAAGGCACCTTAGTAGACATATCTAAAGATTTCATCTCTCCACACTTGTGCACTAACTCACAAATGTGAGTGCAAAAAAGTGTTTCAACACAGCTACATCAAGAGGGCTTTTTGGTAAAGGTGTTCACAGCCATGCTGTGGGAATCAAGGTCTCAGCTCAGCAAAACAGTCTCTCTGAGTAATTCTAGTAGAAAGGCTCCCTTGTAAGTCACACCACTTACACAACTTGCTCCCATGACCTGAGAAATGAGTCCTCTCTTCTGGGCAGGTGCCACAGAACTTATAAATTTGTTGAAAGTCTATAAAGAGTTATCCAACAAATCCCCATGTACACAGTTTGTTTGGCATTCTGTTACAAAGTTAAAAATCAAACTCATTTTGTGAAGATATCTGTTAGCAACTCCAAGACTTTAGAAACTTTTCTGGTCTGGTCAAGAAACTGCAAATGAAGCTGTCACCCTAATTTTGTTACAAACCCAAGTCTGATATTGATTGTGGTCTAGTGACCTGGTTTTGTTAGAATATGAGCAGGTTTGAAATGGAAACTAAAGAAACATTTGTTTAAAACACTATAAGCACACATATTATTCTACACACTCATAGAGGCTCAGGAACTTCAGATGTGGATGCAGATCAGAATTAGGCAGTGGCTCTAAGCAAGGCTGCAGACACACTTCGAATTCAGATTCAGGGTACTGAAATTTTGAGAGATAAATTTAGGAGATTTCAACTGTAAGTATTAGTTTATGATTCTAAAATACACTGCCCCAGTGACTAAAATAGGAACCTATGTGAGCCAGCAGACATCTGCTGTTTCATGACCAGTTAGACTGTTTTGAAAGAAATGTCAAGAAGTCCAGATTACAGACATGAGTAGTCTGGAGGATTATGATATTGAATGTATTTGTGCATGAAAGGAGAAGAAAAGGGCTCAGCTATTTAGTAATTTTCAACCATGCCCATGTCTGGAGCTTCTTTTTCTCACTCACACAGCCTGGACACACCTGCCATGTTGTCAATGCCAGAGAAAATTCATAGTTCAAAAGTACATTTGAAGAAAAGCTTAATGGAAACCTGAACTGCTTTCATTAAAGACAATGAGTGCCACTAAGCTTTTGATATATCCTAGTTGTGACTGAAAAAACTGGGAAGACAACTTCACATCCCATAAGGCTCAAGTTTTTCTTACTCCAGACCTAGTATGTGGGAAGCAACATGTATTTTACTTTGAAAAAAAGCTGTGGCATGCAGGTAGATACCACAGGCAGATACCTACCTGAAATCTATGCCTTAAAAAGCCTTTAGCCACAGTTGGCTTTGCAACATTGTCTGAACTAAGTCCTCACTGACGCATTGCAAAACCAGACTCGTCTTGCTTTTAAAGTGTTGCATGTGCTTAACAATGTGTTTGTAAACATATTCTTCACATGTAAGAAATGCCCCTCTGGTATTCTTACTGGAAAAGAAGAAAGCCTAGCAGTGGTCTTACCTTGATTTTCAGAGAGTCGGTGTCATAAGGACTTGGCGTGAAGTCAGTGTGAACTTTGGCTCGACCGCAGAAGGGCCCACTGTAAGGAACTTCGTCATCAAAACGGAGGCTGTCCCTGTTGCTCGTTCCATCTGAGCAGCTGGTCACCCCACCTTAAAGAGAGTCAGCTTGAGAAATCTCCTGCACCAAATGCCCAGACATGCAATTATGCACAACAGCCGAGAGGAAAGCATTCAAAAGCACAGAATTAGAGAAGGAGTGTACTCTGTGTGGTTTTGACACATTCCAGGAAAAATGCATTCAATACTACAAGAGACCAAAGAAAATAGGTAGAGATCTTTCATTAACATTTTCCCTGCAATAATCTTTCCCTGGTGATACTAATAGACTACACATTTTACTTATAGACTTTTTGAGATATTACCTCTGCAGATTAATAAAATGTACTCTAAAAGTGCAATTTAGAGAATTCATTCTGCTGATCTTCTCCTGTTTATTCAGAGAAATGAAAACAAGTACAGTAGAAGTTACTTTATTTCATTACGGAGCTAGCTGAAACATCAAAGGAGCCTGCATTGCAGAGGGAAATTTTAATCTTATCAACATTTCTGCCTGTCATTTTATCCAAGTTGAGCAATAAAGTATCAGCAGAGTAATTCAAGGAAATTTGAGCAAGCTCTGCAATATCCCATCCAAATATGTTTTTAGATAAGAGCAGCAGTGTGTTGGAAGTAAATTCCCATATACACTTTTCACAAATCACATCACAGAAAATGATCATAAAAATGGTTTTGTTTGAGGTGATTGCTTAAGTGCATAGTTCCATCTCAGGGCCAGATTAACTACTAAATGTAAATGGTCTGGACTGCAGCTCGATTCCCCGCTTAGGGCTCACATGGTGCCTGCAGTGATGGCACAGCAGCTTCGTCATGGGCGCTGTGGCCTGCTGCCCAGCAAATGTTCGCAGCAGAGCAACAGAGAGAGAGGTAGAGGCGAACTCCACTTCTTATCAGAGATTCATCTGCCCTCTGACTGACACTACCCTGTTGGGGGAGAGTTTTCAGTGGGTTTGCAGACTGAGTCTCTGCATCGCCACCTGAAGCTGCCAGGTCAAGCCCCCATCAGCCATCATCTCGGACAGAACTCTCACTTTGTCTGCCTCGCATCTGCAGGGAGATGTGAGCCAGCCACTGCCCCAGAGAGGATACTTGCATGGCTGCAACCAGTGATTGCAAATCTATGAGTGCCAACAACATAGCAGTGCTAACCCCCAAAACATTTATGGCATATATACCGGCAACAACCCCTATAGTCCGTGCTATTTTTTTTACTTCAATTAGAATTTCCACTCTTAAAAATACTCATCTTATTTCTGGAGAGAAGTATATCTACCCTAGCTGCCACCCATTTAATCAAATTACAGTTTTGTCTGCCAGACTGAAGAGCTCTCTGCTATCACATTTTTGATCACCAGCTCTGATACCTCAGACTTAAATAATAACAATATTGATCCAGTGACTGAATAAGAAGTATGGCTATCTGGTACTTACTAGATGAGCTCTGGCCACTGTTCAAACTGTAGAGACTTTCCATGGAGTCACTGGTTTTTAGAGAGACCTTCTCGGTGTGTATTCCACCACCAGTATCACTGTCATCTTTTCCTTCTTCATTCTTTAACACAAAAATCAGATGTTGACCACCAACAGATGCATTTTAGACAAACTTTGTGGTTTTTTCTTTTAAATCATCATTGGAGATTAACTCATCATTACACTTTATTAAGAACCACTCTACGAGAAAAAGTATTTTAGAAGTCGGTGCCTGTTACTGAGGATGCCCAGCACCAGCCCTAGCTTCTTATGATCTTGGAGAAATCCCCTGTCTCCCTTCTACCCCACTCACTTCTACTACTGGTCAAGCAGCTAAACTGATTCTCCATCTCAGACTCAGATATACCACAGCAGCCACAAAGGCTTCCAATGGGAAATTTGCAGGCAGCCATCTGTTTTCTCTGATTGTCTCAGAGGAGGAAATATAAAGTCTAACTCTGAAATCACATGGTGAAGTGCTAGCTGATGCAGTTGTGTTTTGCATCAGACTTCATGGGTGCTTGGCAGCAGGCTGGCACCCAGGCTAGGGCGCTCTGGAGATGGTTTGCACACACGTATGGCATCGCTGTGTTCTAGCACCATGCTCACCATGCTCCGTGACCTGCACATTGGCCTCAAAATTCAGTGCATTGCAGAATTAACAGGATTTTACATTATATTTGGGGAAATAGTGATTCATCAGTTGGCTGATGAAGTCAAGCAAATTGCATGTATGAAGTAGACACCCGTACAGATATGTATAAGGGATAACATTGAAATGAAGAACTATATTGCTTTTCAACAAGGACAGTGCTTGTTATACCAGTCAGCAGCATAACCCACACATTACTCAGTGAGCCCATATTGATTGTCATCATCTCCTGCAGGAATGAAAATTATGCTTCATGTGTGTCCAATCAGATAATCCATTGAATTTCTGTCATGTGAACTGTTGTTGGAAACCTACAGAAGGTAAGTGTTGAAATTCTGATTTTTCTTTCTTACAACGTAGAAATGCAATTTTATCAAAAAAAAAGCAAGCTAATGAAATAGGAATCCTTATCTTTGACCTCAAAAAACTGTCTAAATAATGAAACACTATTTTCTACTTGCGAAGTTTCTTGTTTTCTGTGCTTATTTGATATTGACATGTGAGATAGCATGCAGACTAGCTCAGTTTTTTAGGATGATTAAGTATGACAAGTTCTCTTTCCTTATAGTTTTTAAAATTCGAAACTCACCAACACAACATATTGAGAGAATAGCGTTTGCAGTGTGTGAAGTGTTTCTATGTTTAATAAAGATTGGTTCACTTAGATTAGGTAAGGTAAGAGCACATAAGGCATATGAGTTGTCATGCTCTAGGGCACTGGCTGACCTCAACAAAATGGACTTTGGAAATAATTTCTGTACTGAAAAATAAATTATTCTAATGAAGCATTTTGTACAGGTTGAGTATCAGAGTGTTGATGGGGTCCACACAACACTCCTTTGTGTCCACATCAAGAGATTATTTCATGATGCTTCTACAAATGCTCCTTGATGACAAAGCAAAATACAATGACATAATACTCCTATGTCTATCTTGGGCCTTTACCGTGTGATGCTTTTTTTGCATATGTGCATGTATGTGTACATTAATGTACACATGAAAGAAAGGGTAGATACTAAAAGCTGCTTTAATTCAGTATGTGTTACCATGTTTTTATGGATTGTCATAACTGATGACAATTGAAACATTAACAAGAAAAATGCATATGACATTTTTATTTCACATGTATTATCATCAAAACTGAGATCCTTAAGTTATATTTACCGTCTCCTCAGAGAGCGTCTTGATGTACTTTTTACCCATCTTTTTCTTCATGGTAAGGGAAATGGCTCTCATCTTCTTACCCAAACTTCCTCCATTATTTGCTGCTTTAGTTTGAACTGTATCTCCAATATCACTTATAGTCTCCAACTCAGATACCTGATTGGAAATAAAAAGGTAACTAGCAACTCACCATGAAAGTGAAATTCAGTGTAGTGGAATAAGAATTACAGAAAAATATTAAGAACAATGCAGTTGGAGTGACAAAAATCAGTCATAGCCGTTTTCCTGGGGTATTATGTATTCGAACAGCACACTACCACATGAGTGAATGACAGAAAATTAAAAAAAAAAAAATTATGATAGAAAATGTAGTTTCCCTTTGTTTACTCTCCTTAATCCAAAGAAGAATTGAGGGCACTTTTGCAGGTTCTTGAAAACCAAAATGACACATCTGTGAGTTGCATACACATGCCAGTTACTTTGATCATGCACCAACCTGAAGAGCACTTTTGTCTTTTTGAAAAACTGTTTCTAATCTTCCCATCAAAGTACCAAAGTTCAGGTGTGAATCTCCTGTTCATTGTGGCAAGGGCTCAGTCACCCAGACAGATCCAGGTACACAAGCAAAGTTCTTGTTGGTGTAAAATTTACCCAATACGTTTCCCAATATTTTTGCATAACTGGTGCAGGAAAGTGAATGAAAGAAAGTAAAACTCTGTGTCATACACACCTCTGCTGAATCATCTGTCTTTGAGTGATGCTTGAAACGGTCAAAGCTTCCAAAGCTGCTTGTGCGCTGTAAAAAAAAAAAAAGAAGACAAACACTGATGGTGTTTTCTTCTGTTGTTAAGACTTAAATACAACTGTCAAGTCACCTGTTTGTGTTAAAAATTCTCTACAGCCAGAAGCAGAAAAACTAGTGAGAAAAACAATACTGCTTCAAATACTAACTAGGTCATGGTTGAGATCTATGTCAGTTTTACATTAACTATACACAGATACCTATGAGCTACCTCTAGGTAAGATTGCTGTCCATAAGCTTAGGAAAAAAGGCATTTTCATAAATATTATATGAGCTATAGCATTCGTTATGGTGGTGTCAACTGTGGCAATTTATACAGTTTACTTTCACAGCTGGGGAGACTGTTTATGGTTCTTTACCAACAGGAATCAACAAGGACCTCTGGGGATTATGAATACATTTTTTCCAAAATGCATATCTTGTGGAGGCAGTAAGGAACAGAATAATCAAGTGGGCCCTGAGTAGTTCTTCCCAGTTCTCAAACTGAGAATCTGATTATTAAATGTATATGGGTAAAGTTTTTCTCTGTGCCACAGCACATAAGAAATGTGCCTAATCTGAGCTGTTCATTAAGAGACTGCAAATGGATTGCTTTTACTTCCTCCTAATTTTCACCCTTTCTGTGTGTGGATAGTTGACATGGTAAGGAGGGAAGTGGCACAGCAGGTGTTTGCAAGATAGGTCACACAGAAACACCTGCCAGACATGCCCAGGCAAAACTGTCTGACACTGCATTGCCCACGGTGTCAAACTGCACAAAATTGGCACTGATGACAAGTCAGAAGTCCCTTTAAACATGGCCCTAATGCCAGCCAGCATTCAGCCATTTATCAGCTCTACAGTACATTTAAAAGTGTGTTTTTATATCTTCACCAATACTCAAAGCTACATTCAGAAGGACTCATAAAAAACCACGTGATTTCCAACTACCAAGTTACAGGTTTTCCTATATTTATTCACCCATTTACCTTTCATGCATGATTTCAGCCAAAACAGTTATTTGCTCCATTCTGCCCCAAAAGCCACATGAGCCATTTTTTCATCTCCCTCCAAGTTTCTAAAGCACCCATTGTGACCCTTTTCCTGGCATCTCCAGCTACCTCCTTCCGCTCTCCCTCCAGCAGTGCCACAAGCCTCAAAAAAGCCCTGCGAGCTCCTGGCTCTGCTCTACCAGTACAGCTTTCCAATCTTCTCTGCCAGGTAAGAGTTTTCATGAGGTGGCCTCCAAGGCAATTGAGATGGACCATCCTTTGGGCAATAAAAGCAGAAAAGAAAAGGACTGGTTTAGGAGCCGGTCCCATTGCCGGTCCCATTGCCCACCTTCACGTTGCGGACATGCTTAATGCCAGCATGAACCTGCTTCTAGAGAAGCTGAGGAGAAATCTCTCGGTGATGGCAGTTAGTCCTTGGTGGAAGTCATCAGTAATGGCATCAGGTGCCTGATGCCACGGAGGGTGGTAGGATGGCATTCAGGCTCCACAGCTATGGTCTTAGGGAAGGAGTTCATCCAAACGGCACCAGCTGTGTGCAGCACACATCTACCTCCCCTGGGTGTTTCCAGCCAGGAAGGACCTCATCTTATACTGTTCCCTGCTCATAAATCACAGGGTTGCTATCCATATTAGCTCCTTTACCTCGTACAAAGTCACTTATAAACTAAAAATAGTTTGCAGAGGGGAAAAAAAAAAAAAGACCAAGCTATGGGAAACCATGTGAAAATACTTTGTCTTTAAGTCTCCATTTAAGAAAAAAATCAGCATCCCCTGGAACACAACTGAAAAGAAGTGTTCCCTGCTGTTTCATTTCCTTGTTTTCCCACATTTATTTACTAACCAGCTTCACCCACCCCACAAAAAAATACTGATTTGGATATAGCAGTAGGAGAGGCCTGAGCACAGCCTGATGGAAGAGGAAAGTGTACCCGCATTTTGGTTCCATATTCTAAGCACTGCAGAAAAAGAAATAACTTTTTTTTCTTTTGCTACATTTCTGGGCATATCTAACCTGAAAAGTATTTCCAGCCAAAGGTTATTTGAAGGAGCTGACCCAGATTTTTGGACAAGTTAAAATCACATTTACTATTCACTGAAGGGGGAAAAAAAAGGGGAAAGAAAAAAAATCACACAGCTCTCCTCTTAATTGATTATAATCTCTCAGAAAATCTCTGTTGGCTAAACTTTGTGGTTTATTTGTTTGTTTTTACCCTGTGAAATTGAAAAGGACAATTTGGATCGTACACTTTAATTTTATCTAAAATTCCCATAAAGAACTTTGCTATTAAGTAGATGAACAATATCCTGTGACAAGGGGTTAGCTCAATAGTATGAGACAAAAACACAGCCCTGAGGATTACGGTTCTATTAGACAGGATTAACACCTTTCACTGGCTTGTCAACCCAGCCAAATGCACCCTGCAGCATGGAGCGGGAGGCTGGGTTTCACAGCAATGTTGGGAAAGCATAAAATAGTCTCACTCAGTGATCTCTAAACATACACTGACCTTTCTGTTGCATTCAATCACTTCAAGATGTCTAGTAGGAATAACTGTATATTAAAGTGCAGATGTGTGACAAATACTTTAAAAGGAACAAGAGGAAATACATTGTTTATTGTTGGTCTTACCAATAAACAGCCCGAGCACAGGAAAATCAGTTATTCTTTTTTGACCCTTGAAACAACCTTATATCCTACATGTGCAGAAGCCTTGGGCTATTTTGTAGTGTACTTCAATGTTGCTTCATCCTTATTAAATATTAATAAGGGTTACAAGATGATTTCCACTATTCTAGATAATGGTCTTCTTGCACTGGAGAGCACTAAATAGGGCTGCTTCAGCAATTCTCTATACTAACTTTTTCCATTAAGTAATCAATAGCTACCACCTTTTAAAAATATATTCAACCCCATTATACTGATAACGAAAAGCAGATTTAGGAGCTCTGGGCTGCAAGGGGAACAGGACTATTACTTTCTGTAGTGTCAGTCACTGCATTAGTGTCATGGAACACCTACTTTGTGAAGGTATGGACAGGCCTTATTTCTAGGAGAAGGGAAGCTTTTAAAGTAAATGCAAGCTACTGGGAGAAAATATGCTATTGACTTTTGATACCAGGATTCAGCATCCCATAAAGTTAAGTGATTTTTCTGGCTGGATTCATGCAAGAACTGCAAGTGGATATGTTAGGCAAATATGAATTTGCTCAGTAAAATCTGTAAAATCTAATGGACTCATGGGCAGGGGAGAAACACTTTTATTTTTCCACACAAGGAGCGATCAAATAGTTTTAACAAATCAATGCATCAACTTTCATGTCTTCTCCTTTGGTGTACCAAATTAGCATAATGGAAAATATCAAAGATACTCTTCAGTGTTTTAAATCCTTCTTCTATATCTTCAGTTCCCTGAAATCCAGGAACTTTACCTAATCATTTTAAAGGGATCAGTGCTATGTAATTGCTGTTTATTTTAATTTGGACAGTTTGCAGTTGGTAATATGGTTTGTCTGTAAATAGTCAATCATTTTCCCCAAGTGAATGGTATGGTATATGAGTAGAAAAACAACAAGAAGAAGAAGTTCTGCAATCCATGTCTTTCTGTTATAAAACATCCTTCCCTTGTAAGGCATATAATAGAAGTCAGTTAGTTCTTATGATAAACTAGTCAGAGCTTCTCCTTGTCTACAGAGAACCTTTGAGCCAAAACTGACAGCAGTTATCCTGCTAGATAATCATTATGGATTATATTCACCTCATATTTTTCTTTGGACAATTCACAACTACTCAGGTATCTGCTTCCCTGCTGTGAGAAATTCTGGCTCATTATGTTTCGCTTCAAGTCCTATTCAAAATAGTATTTAAGTCCAGCATGATGCAATGGCTTTGTATTGACCATCTCACATAAATAATTTTTTTTCATATTTCTCCATACACTTTCATTTTTAGCTTCCATTCATCCTCAGACTACCCAGACCACAGAAGCTCTGCAGGGGTGAATGCAGTCACCGATAGTAACAAAAACGGAGCTCAGCATGTTGCCCAATTTCCTTGCCTGCCACAGACAATTGTATTCTTCCCTCTCTGCTCGGAAGAAGCCACAGCAGCTCCCAAGAGGACAGTCTGTGCTTGCTGCTTTGATCGATGGAGATAAGTGAAGCTCAGGATTTGATTCATTTCTTCCATTCTCTGATGCTCCTAGTTCCTTCAGAAGGAGACTACTCTGAGAATGAAATCAAGAATTACCAAAGTAGGGGTGAATATTGCTACTCTACTAGCTTATCTTCTTGCGCAGATAAACAAAGAAATGGTCTCCTACTTTGCCAGAAGGCAAGAGAATGATTCTCAGCTTTTGGAGGTGTTCTGTGAAAAAAACCCGCAACCCAATAACAGCCTCCCCCTCATTTCTATTTAAAGATGGAGAATTTGCATACAAGATTCATTAACTCTCCAAAGAATAATAAAGAAATAAAGAAGACACTGTGACCTCCCTACATCAGTGATTTTTTCCTATTTACACATTAGGTACACATATAGAACTTCTGACCACAAACTAAGCTATTAATATAACTTTATAGCCTGCACAAAACATGGCCTAAACTTTGTACTTCACCAGTCAAAAGTAATAAAAAAGATACAGCTTGTTCTTTCTAACTCAAATAGGGCAATCTACTGAAATGGCATTTTTAACTGGCTTAAAAACGACTCTATAAAAGACTGGTTGTTATCATGGTCTAGTATTCTGGAACTGCGTGGAGGTGGGAAGAGAGGAGAGAAAAGCAGTCTGTGAACAAAAGTGCTATCGTGAAGCATTAGAGCAAACAGCCCAATTTTAGTGATGCAAAATGAGTGGAAAAGAAAAGCTGTGTAAAATAATGAGTTAATCATACTTCACACTCCTGCAGGGCAACAAACTTCGCTCTCCAAAGTAAACACCGAGTGGCTGTTTTATCAGTACCGCTATCTGGTACCAGCCTCAGCCTCGCAAGCCTAAACCAATG